TGGGGAGGGTGGGGAGGGGCTGGGTGGGGAGGGTGGGGAGGGGCTGGGTGGGGAGGAGCTGGGTGGGGGGTGGGAGGGGTGGGGCTGGGAGGGGAGGGGCTGGTCACTCCGTGGTGCCCTTATAAAACTCAACGTTTAACCTACTCACTCCGGCTTGTGCCCGCCCTCACAGTCGGGCATATTTGTGGAATACACCACGCCGCCGTTGACCCTGGCCATTGACATGAGCAACCCAACGTTCCTACCAGCTCCCTCCGCAGGAATGTGTTTTAGCTCACTCTGTCTGTTGTTGTTGTCGTATCCTCAAATTTTGTAACTCGATTTCAACCCACTTCCCAATGTGGTATCGACTGCAAACTTGGTATACTTATGTCATACTGATGACAATATTATATTCTATATAAAAAAAATAACATTCTTTTTTATATGTTATGTTTTGGCTTGGGTCTAATTGTCCACGCTCAACTGACGTTGGCTGTAAATCACCACGGAGCCCTTACGTTATGGCAAGGTTTGCGGCCACTTCCTGGAGTCGTGGAGTTTTGCCATTACGAGTAGGGTACATTTCATTAAAGCTTGTTTTTTTAAAAGTATTTTTAAATATTACATTTTATTTCAGCACCTACCATTGTTAGTTACGTAAATAAATATTTTTACATCCCTCTAGTCAATACCGTTCTGACACAGCACGTGGAATGCCTTCATGCAGAAGTGTATTTGTATTTATTTTATTCCAGTTGTATTTCATGATTGCCCTGCGACGGCACAGATGTTACTCACCGGCACAGATCTTCGTTACAACCATGGTCACATCTGTCGCGATACAAACATCAAGAATCGGAACATTCTTTAAATGGTGCAGGAATGGTACCGGAATAAGGAACTGGTCGAAAATGTTTTGACAGCGACCTGTAACGTGACTTTTTTTTAACTGAATAAAGTAAAATAAGCACGAAAACGGTGTAACTCATACAGCCATATCCATTCGAGTATAAAGAAAAAATCACGTTCTCCTCGATGTCGTACTCGACAACATTTCTATTGCTAAGAATCTGCCGAGAGAGCGAGCACGTCACAAACGCCAAGGTCACATGGTTCCCCCATCAGTGTCCGACACGGTCAGAGCCAGAACATTTCGGCTCTTCGGAACACGTGGCCTGGGCGAACGCCCTCGGCTGTTCACCGACAGCCCTCCGCGGGATTGGAGACGACCCCGGGGCAGGCCCCGCTTGACGTGGACACGCGCGATCGAGGCTGACCTTCACCATCATGAGCTTGGCCTGCACTCAGCGTGGTGGCGAGCACAGGGTATAGGGTCACCTGACGGCATGCCGTGGGAACCGCTACGCTCCGAGGAGTTCGCGCCTCGTGATGATGACGATGATGAGGCACCAACACCACCTGTGGATGGGCCTTAGAGTGGCCATTCGATGCATGCCAGTCCTGGGCTCCCCTTTACCAGGCCACACTGACCAACTTGTTGAAGTAGGGATGGACACACCCCATGACCGGATTGACAATGGGTTGTAAATTCTATATTATTGAATTTTTTAATTGCCAGAAACAATCAGCAGAATTTGGCACTTTGACCAATGGTCTAGGCATTGCTGTAACAAAGTGGACTGTATATATACAGTCTTTATTATTTCCCCTTGTTCCTTAATACAAACAATAACTGTATAGCCCATTGTCCATTCACCACATTAGATATGCGTGCGCATATACACATGTGGTGGCGCAGTGGCTGCAACCCTGGTGACTTTGAGTTTGATTCCAATGGCGGCCACAATGCGTTGTTTGTTTTGGTGTGCGCACATCAATGTGTACATCTGTAATCCAGTGCCCTGGAGGCAAAGGATGGTGGATTGCCATGCGATAGGGATAGGTGTTGGTGTGAGATTAATTCTCATCATCATCACTATACACTCAATTGTCATTATCTTCAATATTATCATCAATATCACTTCCCTTATCTGCGAAATTATCGTCTTCATTTAGCATTACTATCTTCATCATCATCTATCATCGTTTTCATGTCGCGCTAAGCCATACTTGGCTTAGTGCCACAATTCTTTACCACGGTGGAGAGCAGAACAACACACATTGGCATCTGTGTGCGTTTGCGTAGTTCGAAGGAGCTTGATTGGTCAGCTCTGTTCTGTGGCGGGCGAGGGTACTGATGTCAGCAAGCATCCAGGTACTGATTTAGATATGTATGCAATGTTGCTTCTCCTATTACAAATGGTGAATTGGAAAAAAAACTAACTGGTTACATTAATTGGTTGCAATCAATTTTGTAGAATTACTGGTGAATGCTGGAATACCACAAAAGCAGAGAAACACTAATTATAAAAGAATCTGGCCTGAACGCTCAAAACACATTCCTGCGGAGGGAGCTGGTAGGAACGTTGGGTTGCTCGGTCAATGGCCAGGGTCAACGGCGGTGTGGTGTATTCCGCAAATATGGCCGATTGCGAGGGCGGGCACAAGCCAGCGTGAGTAGGTTAAACGTTGAGTTTTATAAGGGCACCACGGGGTGATCAGCCCCTCCCCACCCAGCCCCACCCCTCCCACCCCCCAACCAGCCCCACCCCTCCCATTTTTGGATGCGCGACGGACGGACGGACACAATAATCCCCTGTGGGGCTGGTGGAACCAGGTGGTTCCTACCAGTATAAGCATTTCCCAGTGTTCATCTCTGTTGGTGGCACAGAGCTGGTTGATGGAAATTCCACACTCCGATGACAAGGACGATTTTCGCCATAGCATACATCACTTGTGCGGGGAATGTCAAGTGAAAAAAAGTGTGGGAGAGAAATATCCTTGGAAACTGAACAAAAATAACTAAACGGCTTAACGCATTTGAAGTAAAAAAAAGTGTGCCCCCATGTTTCCCGAGCTTTGACGTAATTATGCTAGAGAGTGGACTTATCACACGTGTAATTAATAGCGTAATTAATGTGGCACGATTTACTTCAACCATCAATAAATCATTCCTCCTCATATCTCGGCTCAACAGGTGGTAGTAGTTACAATGTGTATATTGCTCGCCGGTTGTTTTTTTTCAGGTCACACAGCTGCACACAATAGGCCCTGCGTATTGTGCCATTCCACCATAATAGCGCCTGGGTAATTGCAGCTCCTTTTGTGCACCAATGTGGAGCGCTCTGCGAAAACAAACAGCGTCGGGAGGGGTGGGGAGGTAGTTGGAAAAGTGAAGACAGCTCATCCGGTCGCCCGAGTTCTGGCAGGTTACGAGATTCCTAGCCCAGACCTTGCTGGACTTCCCTGCACATGCTCCACTTTTTAAAGTGTGACGAGGAAAAAAATAAACACGTCCGCGGCGTAACTACACGTAACTAAGGACCCCCTTCTGCCGTTGTGCGCTGCGTGAACGCACCACCGACAACACACAGCCGTGCGTCTGCTGAAAGGAGGAAATATAACTGAAAGACACTTTTCAAAAAGCTGCCCTTTGTTGACATTTTCTGTCATTCCATACCTTTTATTATTTGTTTTTATATTTTTCTTTTGCTCTCTTGGCAAGCTGAATATGGCTACAGTTGGCAATTTAATGACAGCAGTCTGTGTACTGTTGAAAGTTAGAATTTTCTTAAATGTTTTACTATGTTTTATAATGGGGTTCTGACCAGCCTTTGTGGATTTTTCTGCGTTATCCCCTCATGTGTTTTTTCTCTTGGGAAATTAAATTGGCAAAACATCCCAATGTAGAACCCCCTTGCAAATATTTTGAGATTTAGTGAGGCTTTAATAGATAGATATTATACATTATTTATGGTAATAATAAACATGGGATATGTTTGTTTGTAATATATATATAATTGCTGGTATTTCATGTCAGCTGCAGGCGCTTACTTTGAATAAGGTCCATCTATATATTCTCAAGCCAGCCTGAATGCACCCAGTCACATGGTTTAAGCTTGGTTAGTGGTTAGATGGGTGATCACCACCATGCATGATACGGGTATTGTCGTCTAGGTTCGTTTTGAGTTTATTCTATTTGACCTGCCAGTCGTACTCATCATACTTCAAGGCGTCCAGCAAGGTCTTGATGCTGTTGTAATCCTCTTTGAGGTGCACCGAGTGAGCCAGGGGAAGAGACGGGTACTTCTTGACTTAAAGCTTTCGTGACTGCAGGAATTCACATTCTTTGGGTCTTGCGGTAAAGTCACGTAGATAGGTTCAAAGAAAATTACAAAACATATTTTTCTTTAAACTACGACGTTTCGATCGCAACACAAGCGTTCGTCATCAGGAAGAAACAGAGGGGGAAAGCTGCTGAGGCAGACTGTTTTAAAGGTTTAAAATTGGTGTAGCCCAAGGGTCATAAACGAAGTGGGCGGGGCTAGTTATGTTAATGTGAGAAATTAGCATGTTGGTGTAAGATCGGAGGGCGACGTCCACGACGAGGACGCGGAGGTGGCGATGTTACCGTGAGAGATTAACATGTTACCGTGAGAGATTCGCATGTTAATGTAAGATCGGAGAGCAGCAACGTCGAGCTCGGCGAGCGAGGTGGCTGTGTTAGTGCGGGAAATTTAACCTGTTAATGTAAAATCAGATAGCCGAAAATTACAACTAACATCGGAAGGTGGTAGGATGGGAACATCATAGCCAGTTATGACTTAAACTGGTTGATAACGTCCTTCCAATGATTGCTACGTTTATACCCATCTTCTCGATTGAAGTTGTGTCTGTGTCTATATATGTGGATGGCTTCATGAACGAATCTTTGTTGATAGCCAGTGGGTTTGCAAAGTATCTTCTAAGAGAAATCAATTTCATGTGAACCCACCGCATTAAAACAATGATCAGTCACGGCCGAGGTATTGGTCCTAACGTGTTTCAGATCTGCCTTATGTTCACGAACACGAAGCGTCATGTCTCGGACCATCCACTTCGTTCATGACCCTTGGGCTACACCCATTTTAAACCTTTAAAACAGTCTGCCTCAGCAGCTTTCCCCCTATTTTTTCTTCTTGATGATGAACGCTTGTGTTGCGATCGAAACTTCCTAGTTTTTATTTATTCTTTTTGTTATTTTATTTGAACATATCTTTGTGACTTTACCGAAAGATCCAAAGAATAAGATGGCTACATGTTACCATTATGGAGCAGCACGGCTTTGAGGCTCCTCGATGAGCTGTCAATGAAGAGGCGCCACTCAGTCTGGTTACAGGCGATTCCGATTGCCTCGAACAGACTGGTCACATTGTGGCAGAAGCAGAGCCTATCTTGACAGGTGAAGAAGCTGCAAAAAGGTTGGTTACGCTTCCTCTGATTTGCGACTTGCACACTTTCATCCAACAAGTTCCACTGCTTGAGCCTGGACTTGGTGAGACAAGTCGTTGAGCTCTTTTTGGTTGGGGTAGTATGGGTTTCTCTCATCTCCACCTCTGAAATTGTCATCTGGATCGACGTCTTCCTCGCACTCTGACTTGCTGCTCTCTTCTAAAGATGGCTGCTCTCTCTCCGGAGGAGTGGGTACAGGGAGCTCATGACAGTGTGGTACCGGGGCGATGGATGAAGGAAGGTTCGGATACGTGATAGCAGGTGCATTCTTGCCAGTCCGACGTTTGGACAGGTCCACCTTGCAGAAGCAGCAGTTGCTTGAGTGGTCAGTGGGTTCTCGCCAAATTCTTGGGATAGTGAACTTCATGGCTCTCTTTTCCCCTCTGTACCATCCTGCAAAAATACATTTATTTCACCCATGACTAATGTGTAAGAGATTTTCGCTACAGTTTTCATATATATTTTTTCAATAACATTTAAAATTGTAAAACATTTTCAAATTAAAACTTTTAAATTTAATTTTTTTTTACAAATTCTATAACAAAATTTCGAGCAATTATTGTACATCTTACCTTCCAGAGTTGTTTTGCATTGCTCGCAGGTGAAATGAGGTGCCCAGGGTTTGTCTTGATCCCTGACAGGCATGCCGAAATATACCTTGTAGACATCACACATCTTAGCAGATGCTTCCACAGAGTACTTTTTCGTTCTTGTCTTGATAAATTGGCCGCAGACATAGCAAAATGCGTCTGCCGGATGCTTGCAGCCTCTTGATGCCATCTCAGAAAAATGCAGATATGTATCCATTTAGGCAGCTGGAACTAAACTGAACTGGTGGGCTTAAGGCCCCTGTATTTATACTACTATTTATATGACTGGAAAGTTCTGGAATGTTCTAGAAGTTACTTCAAGTTTACTCAGCACTGAATCTATCTGGAATGTTGTGGAAAATAGGTACATCTTTTTGTTGGGTGTACAGAGTACGAGTTTGCATGTACATTCAATGCAATTTTAAATAGTGTACTACGATTACCGTACAACCATTGTCAGCCAAAACACATCAACCACCTACGATGTTGTGTATCACTGTGCTACATTTGAGCAGAAAGCAGATAGAGAACTGTTCCCAAAGGCAAACGTTTGCATTCTTTCAAATGTAGCAGATTCAAATCACACTCTGCGTACCATATTCCCACTAACTAGTGTAATTATCTATTCTAATCATGTAGCGCTCGAACACCTTACCCAGTCTCGTCTCCTAATAGCTCATCATTGGAACAAGCTTCTTGTCATCCTCATTTAACTTTTGAAATCCACACCAATTTCCCCATTTAATGGTGAATGTTCTAAGGAGTGATAATAATGGGAAAAAAATGATTTTTTTTTTTGCTACTTGATCTAACAAAATGCATTACTTCCATAGAGTAATAATGATTCACATATACTGTGCGTGTAATAATTCATCATTACAACATACCAGCTTCCATTCCTCGGGGTTCTATCAATGCACGGCAGATCAGCGGCTCTCAGAACTGTGCATTAATAAATCACACTGCTCATGTGTGGGGCCCCCAACTTATTCAACATTTAATTACAAACGCCCCCCCCCCCCAACATATAGACCGAGCAATAAGCGTGACAAACGCGATGTGCAGATTCATGTAAATTAAAACGGCACACACACACACAAGCGTTGCAAGCATTAGCTTTTAAAGCAACATGTGCCCGGGTTAATCCTGCATCATACGCGATGGTTTCACGACATGTTAATGTTACGAGTGCCCACAGTGAATGATTGGCGAGGGGAGAGGGGTAGGTGGCTATCGATTCCTATACATTGCTATGTACATGCAAACATGCAACCATTTGCACTTGAGGTTCGTAACAACATTAATAATCGAGGTTTAATGCGAGGGGTCTAAACGCTGCGTGGCGGCTTTGGCGTGCCAGCACAAGAGAGTGTACGGTAGCGACGAACACTGTGGAGAGAGATCTCGACAATTGAACGGGTTTTTAATTGTATTCTTCCAACTCACAAGTCCCGAGCACAAACGAAGTCACTTTGTGGTCACTCGAAAGCAATTCAAGACGGGGAGCCAATAATGTCGTTCCCATTACTTCGTGGCCGAATCAAATGGATGCTGCCGGTGAGAAGCGAGATTGTAAATGCAATTAAATAAATAAATAATGAAACGATACGTTCGTATATCGAGAAGGAGAGCGCCGATAGAATGACACCAAACACAATCACGGCATAACGGAATGTTCGGCGGTAATGGCTTAGCAAGCGACGGTTGCATGAGTAATGCTTGTTATTTCAACGACATTATTTTAAGGCATACATTTTTGGTAATATCCCTTTATACTGAGAGTAGGCAGAAGGTGACAAGATATTTTCAACCTGCCAAATACAGATGTTTTTTTTATATATATATACAGCAGATATATGCCCGAACATATATTCTATATGCCTTACACCTCAACAAATTTAAATGAATGTCCAGCCATTTCTCAAACCACTGCTGGATGAAGGTCGTGTTGGTTGTGGCATTTGTTTAACCATATTTAACTGGCGCTGAAAACCCAGAGGAAATGATGCTCGAGTGGCCGGGAATTAAGCTCTGGGTCAACAGGTTCAAAGTGCAGTGATCTGTAACCACTGTCATATCATTCTCCCCATCCACCTGAGAAGTGAGTACTACAAAATAGTAAATTTAACACGTAGGCTCAATTTAACACGTAGGCTTTCGCGACCAATATTATTCATAATATAGTTTATTTGGATCAGATCGCGTTATTTATAAATGTGTCGTAACCCTCCACCACCCGACACGGCCAAATAGTAAAAAATGTGTCACGTTTTTCAAAGGACAAAATAATTCACTTCTTTAGCCCACCGGTGTGCTGAAGAGAGAATAAACAGCATTTTATGTACAAAATAGTAATCTACTTATTTGTTCATCGCATGCACAAACAATTCGACGCGGTAGAATGTGAACTGAAAAAGTCACGCTCATTTTCACTGTGCAATCGTTTCGATTGTGAGGTCATAATAGGAATCCAACGACGCTATGCACTTTTAAATCTAGATTGAAAGCTCATTTATTTAGAAGTCCTTTTTGTGTTCCATTTGTTGTACTTTCCCCACACCTCCGATTATTCTTGTCGCACGGCTGATGTAGATGCAGAGAAACAGCTACAATTTTACATTCAGGTGGTCAAGCCAGATAGCCACTTCAGGAGCAGCGGAGTGTATCGCTGTGATGTCTCCTTCGTATTTGTGGATCGGGACGTTGCGTCGTTGTATATTGTACGGTCTGTTCTGGACGACAACAGTCGGACATTGGAGAGTTAACATTTTTCATTTGTGGATGTGATTTTAGTGGGGAACATGAGCTTCGTGGAAGATCAAATCCAGGGATCTTCTGCGTTGGGTCTTTTACCTCCGATTAGCACGGTTGGTTTCGTACGGTACAAAAGAAGTTCAGTATAAAAAAATATTATTATTGACTATATGTGTCATGTATGCCATCTCGAGCCTCCTTTGCTCTGTCCTGCTACTCCAGCGGTCGGGAACCTATGGCTCGCGAGCCATATATGGCTCTTCCGGTGACGGCAAATGGCTCCCAGACAATTTTGAGTTGAAAAAAATAAAAATAAAAAAAATCAGTTTGGAACTGATTTTAAAATACTTGTGATATTGCTTAATAATATTTGTGTCATTTAAAAGTAAACAGAAATTAGTTTTGAAGATAAATTTCACGGGTCACGCCTGCACGAAGCTCAACCTCACCACGTACGAACCAGACTACAAGGCCATCAGCAAAACCATATAGCACCAGAAGTCGCATTAAAAGTAAGATATTTAATTTATTATACGTTAAAAATACTATATGGCTCTCAATGAAATATATTTAGAAATATTTGGCTTTTATGGCTCTCCCAGTCAAAAAGGTTCCCGACCCCTGTGCTACTCGCTCCCCGCCCCCCTCCGGTACCATTAACATTATTGGTCAAGCGGGCACGCCGATGGGTGGCATCGTGCAGCAAAGAGGAAGTGAGGGGACCCTTGGCAACTGCATGGTCCATGCCATCACCACTTCAAGTCGACGGCTACACTTGGATGTGTGAATTAGACTCCCAAAAACACCTTCGAATCGAGGTGCTCGTGGGGGGCTTTCGTTAAGCTTTCTGCAACTGGGTAGACTTACTGAAATTAACGTAAGACGCGTGACACACCAGCAGCTTTCATATTTGTCTTCAACGATTGTGCCTCGTGAGACATGGAAAATTCGTATCAAAGTCATGAGAACATTTTTTACGTATTTTTTTAACACGGTTGCTGTGCACAGGCCCTAAGGCCCAAGTTCAACCGGCCAGCAATAAACATCATGACACGAGTACTGTAGTAAGACATAATTTCCACACATCCCTTAATTTGAGCGAGGTTATAACAGCTTGGACAAAGAGACAACGGGGAATGAATTTCAAAGTTGAGCTGTGCAAGCGATGAAGCAGAATAAGAAGAGTTTTTTTTTAATACCTGGAGTGTGGTGAGTGAGTGGTTAAATAAGTGGGTGTGGGAGTGATTCGGTAGTTGAGTGAGTGGATAAACGGGTGTGTGGGTTGCTGCGTGTGTCATTGGGGAGCGGTAGTGTAGCGGTTAGCGCTCTGTGCTACGAACCCGGCGACCCGGGTTCGATTCCCGATTACGGCCACCAACACCAGTGACGATTACCTGAACCGGTCCTGGGCCTCCCCTAGGTCAACTCAGCCTCAATTGAGCACTTGGTGCGGTGTGTAAACATCGCCACTGGGGAGACAAAGACGGTCGGGCGTGGTGCTGGCACCCACCCTCGTGCACCGTTCCGGCCGTTCCAGGTGCTAGCTAACAGCACTTGCCCCTACAGTCTGTTAAGGCTATACGGGGGATCTTTGTGTGTGTTGCTGTGACCTGCCGTGACGTGGTTGAGCAGTGTGGATGAGACTGGAACAGTCAGTCGGGTCGAGCAAGTCCGCAACATGGGTGGATGAATCAGTGAGTGAAGTTCACGGGAGCAGTAAGCGTGGCAGTAGTGACAGAAGAGTGTTCAGGAGGCGGTGACTGACCACTGCGAACATGCGACCGGAGTGAATCAGAATATATCCATTTGTTGAATCACGTTAATTGCACAGGATCTTCTTTACGCATGATGTGGTCTCATACTCCAGAAACGTGCAGGTTGGGTTGGTGACTCGCTCTGAAGAGGGGTTCATCCAAGGCCGTAGCCATGGAGTCAACATTGGGGGGGGCAAATCTTCCAGGGGGTCTGGGGTCCCCCCCCCCCCACAGAAAAATCTCAATTAAAAAACGAATTTCCTGCCTAAAAGATAAAAAAAAAATCACTAAAACATAGGATGGACTTTTAATTTATTTTTTACAATAATGTCTAATAGTGTATTGTATTACATTGCTCTGTTTTTCTTTTTTACCTTTTCTTGTTTCATTGTATGTAATGGCAGAGATTAGGGATTAATAAAGTACAACCATAACCACAATCATAAAAACAGAAATCTATTTTATAGCAATATATTGGGAAGGCATTTTGAGCATATTTTAATATTGGGGGGGGGGGGGGTGAGATGTGTCCCCCCCGCCCCCCAATATATATTATAATTACGACCTTGGGTTGATCCATTGTGTGTTGTGCATCAACCAGCATGACGATTGGATGCTTGTTGAAGGGAGGACAGCAAGGAGGTTTCGGTTACGTCTGTGCAGATTGAGAACATTACCTGCCGGTTTGCACACAACTTTTCTGCGCAGCCCATTTGTTTGCCCACCGA